TTCCAGAATAGGCATTAAACACAAAATATAACAAACAAACAAACAAACAAACAAACAGCAAAAAATAAATAAGCCGACAATGACACAAGATAGTACAAACTGTCTGTGGATGTAGTCTACAGCTTTGTTGAAACTCAGAAACAGTTTTCTCTCCTTCTTTGGACAGTTTGCTGATAAAATACAACTGATACCCTTCTGTTCTTTGCCGGTTCCTCTCTTGTAACACCTCTTCTTTTCGACACTTATGTGACCTATTTGTATTTCAAGTGCTGTAAAACTCTTACATAAATTAAAATGTAAAAAAATATTTTAGTGGCTAGATCCTGGTCACTGTCGGCCCAAAGAGCCCGGGGCATATCTCGACGTTTATCACTTGCAGATCAAGGGACGTCCGTCAGATCACATCAGCCGTCCGTTAGATCACAGGGTAATCCTTAAAAAACCCGCCACGACTGTCCTGTGAGGAGATGTTGGGACAGTCTGTGGCGTAACTTCCTGCGTCCCCCCTGGGGGGCAGAGACGTTTGAGCAGCCACATGTGCAGGCCGACACTTCGATCTAGATGTATCGACACTCGATGTTTTCTCCCATGTAGATGTACCTCTTACGTGGCTACATGCACGCGAAGTCTCGCCCATGGCCGCCCCTTTCTATTTACCTCACTACTTCCGCTCCAGGGTTTCAGTCAGGTGCACGTGCAACACAAATAGGTCACAGACGTGTCCAAGGTTAGGGCTGTTGACCATCAATGATTTATTTATAGAGGCACCAGCCATCCATGTCTAGGTGCTGTTTTAGCCAGGTTAGGGATGTTACTAGAGAGGAAAGGGGAAAGAACAATAAGAGGAGAGATAAGGGCGATAGTAAAGTTGTTTGATAGGGAAGGAGGAGGAGAGATAAGGACGATAGTAAAGTTGTTTGATAGGGAAGGAGGAGGAGAGTTAAGGACGATAGTAAAGTTGTTTGATAGGGAAGGAGGAGGAGAGTTAAGGACGATAGTTAAGTTGTTTGATAGGGAAGGAGGAGGAGAGTTAAGGACGATAGTAAAGTTGTTTGATAGGGAAGGAGGAGGAGAGATAAGGGCGATAGTAAAGTTGTTTGATAGGGAAGGAGGAGGAGAGATAAGGACGATAGTAAAGTTGTTTGATAGGGAAGGAGGAGGAGAGTTAAGGACGACAGATGTTAGATAGGAAAGAAGGAGGAGATATAAGGACGATAGAAAAGTTGTTTCATAGGAAAGAAGGAGCAAATCTCACTAAAGCACCCACCAACCACCCACTGAGTAAATTTATGCCTCCCAATAAATCACTGTTCGTTCGAGCGCATGATGGAGTGCACAATACGTATGTGAAATATCCCAGGCCGAGTTGTTTAAGCCAAGTCTTCTACGTGCCAGGGTGAGAGCGCCTGACCACTGCACCACACACGACAGGAAAGTTTTCTTTTGTCAGGAATGAGCCCGCTCTAGTTTTGGTGAAAAGTGACCAAAACAAGTAAAATAATAACAAATCAACATGAAAAAACAAGAAGCTTCACAAATCAATGGTTTTGCCATCAAGTTTTTTTATTTTAAACTTTTGTATTGCCATAGAAGAGTGAGGCTATAAATAGTTAAGCAGATGATCTGTCAGTCCGGTTTGTGGTCGTGTCACGTGACGTCTGCTGGCAGCCACCGAGAAGACAATGTCGGAATAAGTACACACACACACACACACACACACAC